TCAGTGCCCATGCAGCCCCAGAGACCCACTGGGTGAGCTCTGGGAGTGCCAGTGTTGTCCATGCACCTGATGGATGAGGTCTTGGGGTTTCTGTGCACGGTCCTGGGGTGCCCATCCACACGGTGGGCACGCTTTTGGGGTGCCTGTGCTGCCCATCACCCAGCGGGTGAACTCTTGGGATACCTGTGCACCTGCTGGGTGAGCTCTGGGCTGTGGCACCTGAGGGATGAGCCCTTGATGCCACCCATGCCCCTGACGGGTGAGGTCTGGGGGTGCCTGTGCAGCCTCTGGGTGTGTTCTCAGGGTACCTGTGGCCCCATAGGGGAGCTCTCAGAGTTCTTGGGGTGCCTGTGCAGCACCACACCCCCGGTGGATGAGCTCCCGGGCTGCCTGGTGCCTGCGGTGAGCTGAGGGGTGCCCCCTGGGCACACAGCCCCACGGCGGCTCTCCCGTGGCAGGCAGCGCTGGGGTGCCGCGCGGCGCAGGTGCTGATGCAGTACTGCATCCTGGCCAACCACTACTGGTTCCTGGTGGAAGCTGTCTACCTCTACAAGCTGCTCATCGGGGCCGTGTTCTCCGAGAAGAATTACTACAGGCTCTACCTCTACCTGGGCTGGGGTAGGGGCCGCCCGGGCGCGCGGCGGGGACGGGGACAGTGCCCGGTGTCGGGAGCACCGCAGTCCCAACCATCCCAGGAGGGTGCGGGGTGGGGGCTCTGCCACCCCGGGTGTCCCCCCAGCACAGGGGTGGTTTCTCAGCTCAGGAGGGTGCTTGGTTTTACAGGGTTTGCTGTGTGACTTGCAGGGACCCCCGTGGTGTTCGTGGTGCCCTGGATGGCCGCCAAGTACCTGAAGGAGAACGCGGAGTGAGTGGGGATGGATGGATGGATGGATGGATGGATGGATGGATGGATGATGAATGGATGGAGGGAGGGATGGATGGATGGACAGGGATGGATGGTGAATGGATGGATGGACAAATGGATGGATGGACAAAGGGATGGAGGGATGGATGGATGGATGGATGGATGGATGATGAATGGATGATGAATGGATGGAGGGAGGGATGGATGGATGGACAGGGATGGATGGTGAATGGATGGATGGACAAATGGATGGATGGATGGATGGATGGATGGATGGATGGATGGATGGATGGATGGATGGATGGATGGTCCTGCTGGGATGCTCAGAGGCTGCTGAGGGTCCCTGAGCCACCTGCTGGTGCTGGGAAGCTCTTGGATCATGCTGCCCCAGCCCAGGGTGACAGTGCTGTCTCTGCCTCCCCGGCAGGTGCTGGGCGCTGAACGAGAACATGGCTTACTGGTGGATCATCCGCATCCCCATCCTGCTCGCCTCCCTGGTAGGGAGCAGCTGCCAGCCCTGGGTCTGTTTGGACAGCAGCAGCTCAACCCCTGGCTCCTGGCCCTGGGAAGCTTCCAGCAGAGGCCAGGAGGGAGAGCTGGCCTGCAAGGACCAGCCAGATGCACAGGGGGTTCAGCAGTTTGCTGACCCCTGGTTCTTGGGGATCATGAAGGAAGCTGGGGTGCTGAACCCCAGAGAAAGGGGCATGGGGTGGCTCCTGCTGCTTTGTAGCTGGGATTTTGGGATGGCAGGAGGGGAGGAAGGGCAGCAGCAGCTTTGGCAGCACAGGGGGTGCCATCTCCTGCTGGGTGAGTGTCACAGCCAGGGTGGGGCTGCTGGGCTCTGTGTGCTCCTTGCCCTGTCTCCCCCTCCCAGATCAACCTGCTCATCTTCATGCGGATCCTCAAGGTGATCCTGGCCAAGCTCCGGGCCAACCAGAAGGGCTACGCCGACTACAAGCTGAGGTGGGCCGGGAGCGCGGCGGGGACAGTCTGGCTAATGGGATAATGCCACCTCCACACCCCTGACCTCTCCCCAGGCCTCTCCTCCACCTTGCACATCCTTAAACGACCACCCTGGGATTAACTGGGAGTTTTACTGTCCCCTTACTGTCCCTCAGGCTGGCCAAAGCCACCCTGACCCTCATTCCCCTCTTCGGAATCCACGAGGTTGTTTTCATCTTCGCCACGGACGAGCAAACCACGGGCATCCTGCGCTACGTCAAGGTGTTCTTCACCCTCTTCCTCAACTCCTTCCAGGTGAGGTGGGAGTGAAACAAATCCCTGCTCTGGGCACACCACGGAGCAGAAATCAGGGGCTCCCTCTCTGAGCTTGCTCTCCTGTGGTGCTTCCATGGGAAGGGTGGCACCGCCTCTGCCACTCTCTGCCCATGGGAGCGTGCTGCTGCCCCCGTGCTCTCTGGGCAGCGGTGCCATGGGGATCCCAGCCCTAAAAACACCCAGGAGTGGCCTGGGAGGAGCCTAAGCCCATCCCAGTCCCAGGAGAGGGACAGAGGGGCTCACTCCTGGCTCTCCCTGCAGGGCTTCCTGGTGGCTGTGCTGTACTGCTTTGCCAACAAGGAGGTAATGTCCCTCTCCTTGTCCCTGCCATGGCACCTCCTGCCCAGCTTCCCCACCCCACCCTGTGCCTGCAGGGAGGGCACAGCCATGGATAAGCCCCTGCTCCCTCCCCTCCATGGCAGGTGAAGTCAGAGATGAAGAAGAAGTGGCAGCTCTGGAAGCTTGACCACCCGGTGCTCTGCTGTGCCCAGTGAGGTGGTGACCAGCCAGGGTAGAGGGGCTGCTGGCCACAATGGCCACAGAGCCTGGCTGGAGGGCAGGAGGCTGCAGGAAGCTGTGCTGGGCAGTGCCCACCCGGGATGGCCAGGCTGGGACCAGCGTCTGGCTGTGCCACATTGGAGCTGCTGGAAGGGACATCCCTGCTGTGACCCAAGTGGGACGTGGCGCCCCTGGATCTTGCCAGGCATCGCTGTGTGGGTAGCCCTGCTGCTTCTCCCCAGCCCGAGCACCTGCAGAGCCTGGCAGCCTCCCCCAGGACACCTCCCACACAGGGAACCCCTGGGACACCCACACCCCCCTGGGCACCTGTGGGATCACAGCAGCCGGGGGCATCCTGGTCCTCAGCAGTGGCAATGGGAGATGCTGCCCACACCCTGGGCCACACCACAGCCAGGGCTTCCCTGTGTCCCAGCCCAGGACCACCTCACCAGACATCCACAGCCACCCTGTAAAGCTCTGCACAGCGAGGGGCTGCTCCTGCTCCCCACCCTCATCACTGACACAGAACAGCAGCTCCCATCCCTCCTCGCTGCTCTCCAGCTGCACAAACCCCTGGTGCTCCCTGCCATGGGCAGAGCCAAGGATGGAGCCTCAAAACCTCTTGGGAGTGAAGGATTTGAGAGCAGCAACTCACTGGGGCAGAGCCCAACCTCCCCCATGCCAGGTTCAGCATCCAGCTCAGCCTCCCCTGCTTTCTGGGGGTAAAGCTAGATTTCCAGCCTGGCAGGAGCTCAGGAATCATTTTGCTGGCCAAAGGCTAAAATCATGGGAGTTTGCTTTCCAGTGGGGTGCCAAAGCATCATCCCCACCCCCGGCCAAGCAGCGTGTGGAACCCAGGAAGCCCAGGAGCAAGGGAAGCAGCTGAGGTGGTGTGGTTTGAGCAGGGCTGCTCCTGTCCTGGTCCTGTGCTGCCCTGGAGGAGCCCAGAGCAGCTGGAGACACACCCAGCCCCAGCCCTCGCTCTGGCCTGCGGGAGCAGCACAGACACTGCCAGAGCTCCTTCCCATCACATTCCTTCCTTTGCAAGGCACGAGTCCCCTCCAGGCAGCAGGAAGCAGCTGGGACGCTCCAGGAGATGCCCACGGACACGGGAGGTTCTCCAGGCCCTGCCCTTCTCCGGAGGGCTGGGGGAGCCTCTCCCAGTGCCTCGAGCAGACAAAGCACAGAGGCTGCACCAGCCTGGAGTCACACAGGAACGGTCCTGGATCGATGGAACCCCCACGAGACCAATTTACACATTAACTCTCTTTTCAGATGTAAATAAATATTTATTTTTCAACAAGCAGAGCCTGCTGCTTCTGTCTGCTCCAGGGGAGGGGAAAGGGCTGGTGGGCACAGACAATTCAACAGACAATTCAATCTCAGAATGGACTGGTGGGGAGAAAGAACCTCAAAGCCCATTCCATCCTACCCTGCCATGGCAGGGACACCTTCCACTGTGTCCCCTCCCTCCATGCCTTGTTCCCAGTCCTTCTCCAGCTTTTCCTGGAACCCCTTTAGGCCCTGCAAGGGGCTCTGAGGTGTCCCTGGAGCCTTCTCCTCTCCAGGTGAACAGAGGAGCACCTCTCTGAGCCTGGCTCCAGCCCTTGGCTTGGAGTATCTCAGTGGCATCCTCAGCCTGGAGTCACAGGAACGGTCCTGGATCGATGGAACCCCCACGAGACCAATTTACACATTAACTCTCTTTTCAGATGTAAATAAATATTTATTTTTCAACAAGCAGAGCCTGCTGCTTCTGTCTGCTCCAGGGGAGGGGAAAGGGCTGGTGGGCACAGACAATTCAACAGACAATTCAATCTCAGAATGGACTGGTGGGGGGAAAGAACCTCAAAGCCCATTCCATCCTACCCTGCCATGGCAGGGACACCTTCCACTGTCCCACCCTCTCAGGGAACAATTCCTTCCCAATATCCCATCCATCCCTACCCTCTGGCAGTGAGAAGCCATTTCCCTGTGTCCCCTCCCTCCATGCCTTGTTCCCAGTCCTTCTCCAGCTTTTCCTGGAACCCCTTTAGGCCCTGCAAGGGGCTCTGAGGTGTCCCTGGAGCCTTCTCCTCTCCAGGTGAACAGAGGAGCACCTCTCTGAGCCTGGCTCCAGCCCTTGGCTTGGAGTATCTCAGTGGCATCCTCTGGACTTCCTCCAGCAGCTGCCACTGGATTCCCACATCACCCACGCAGGCAGAGCTGGGATCACACAGTCCCACGCCCCTGAGCCTGCAGCCTCCTGGCAGAGTAAGCTGGAAAACCCTGTGTGCATTCCTGATTGCCCTGCAATAATAATAATAAAAACTTATTCTGGATTCCCCAGCTCCCTCCAGAGATACCCACACACCACACACAGGCTTCTCAGCTTTTATTCATTTATCCACATCAGCAAATGCTACTTTTCCTCGGACCGCTCACCTTAGGGTAGCGCCAGGCTCCTGCTGCCTGCACTGCCACCCTAGCTGCAAGGAATGCTGCTTCACATCCTGCCTTTAAGGAACTGCCTCCTCAGGGAGACTCTGTTGTTGAAGATTCCCTCCCTGCTGGGCCCTTGGGTGCTCTCACACCCTTGTTGAAGCCTTTACATCTGCAGCTCCTGTTTGGGGCCTTTTTTCTTCACACACATCTCCCTCCTTTTCCCAAGCATTCTAATCTATTGGATAAATAAAGTTAATCCCCCAAACCCCCTTGATTCCAGCCTCAGACTTCCAGACTCAAAGCAAGCCTCAAATCCCTGTAGTCATGTTCCAGCCACTGCTCTGCACAGGCCTCCATTCTGAGGGCACAGCTGAGCCAGGGCTTTTCCCATAGGAGTTTTTGGGGGTTTTTTGCCTTAAATTTAAGGGAAACAGCACTAACACTCCCATATTACTGCAGCCAGAGGCACCATCAAGGCTAGGGAGAGACCTTGGAACTCCCCATTGACAGGGAATGAGAGACAAAGCTCTGAACACTCCTCCCAGCACAGCCTCAGCCCTCTGAGGAGTTTCCTCTGAGGAGTTTCCAGGGGTGCTGCATGAGGAGAATTCCCTCCACCTCATCCAAACTCTTCAGGGTGAAGCTGCAGCAGGCTCACCCCGCAGCAGGCACTGAGTGCCCACATGCTCCATGGCATTTGCTCAAGATGAAAAAACAGTGCCCTGTGCTAAGGCTGGGAGGTAAGCACAGGCAGGAAGCAGCACCCAGGGGGGGACACTGCCAGGCACATGGGGTCACAGCTGAGAGCGCCATACCTGCCTGGTTTGGGACAAGGGCTGGCTCCAGGAAGCACAGATGCTGCAGGCAGACCAGCTGTCACCCCTGCCTAAAGGGACTCAGGCAGCTCATCAGAAGGGGTGACCAGCTGAAAAGATGGAGCTGGATGGGTTTTTGTATTTGGGATCTGTGCCCAAATACCAGAAGGAACACACAGTTCCATCCTCTTCCCAAAGGGACTTAGCCTGATTCACCAAGGTCATCCCTCATAGACTTCAGATTTTGAATGTTGTGTTTTTCCCCCTTACAGGACTCAGGAAAAAATGGGAACACAGAGTCACTGGAAACCACTTTACACTAAGGTCCCTAGCACCCTCACCCACTCCCAGGGACAGGCCTGTCCTTGGCAAAGCCCACCCACAAATGCCCTGAACTATTTCCCAGCACTAAAGCCTGCACATGAAAGGCAGGCAGTGGTGAAAAAGCTGCTAGGAAAGCCTGGCAGCACAGCTCTGTCTGGGCTGTGGTTCCTTTGCCCACCTCCCATGGGGCACAGAGCTATCCCTGTTCCTGCTCTGCTGTCTTGGCACTCCCCTGCTTGTCAGAGGCATGGGAAGCTCAATAGTCCCAGCTCTTCCTTCTCTCTCTCCTGTTTTTCCAGGGGATCCCTGCCTTGCTGGGATCTTGGCACACCAGGCCAATGACCTCTGCCATAGAGCACTGACCACAAAGCCAAGATCTTGGGGATGGAGTAACAGTGATGTCCTGGTTCTGGCCAGGACAGCGTTCACTTCTGCAGGACCAGGACCTCTCCTGTACATTTTTGTTATTACTGTTACTGTTCCTTATCTCATTGCTGTTTCCAGTAAAATGCTTTTATTTCTACCAGTGATCTTCACTTTTGTGCCTCCAGTTCTCCTCTCCATCCCACCCCAGGGGAGAGGAGGTGAGGAGGGGTAGTGGGTGAGTTGGGAGTGTTTCAGTGAATGCCATTCCTAAACCACCAACGTGATCACACCCAGCCCCTGAGGACAGCAAGAACCCAAAGTGAACCAGAGTGGGCTGGCTGGAGGAACAGGCTTTGAAGCCCAGATCTGGGGTGGCAGTAGAGCAGACATTCCAACTAGGAACAGGGCTGCAGTTTGAGTTCCACTGCAGCTCAAAGAGCCAAACATCACCAACTCCACTCCCTTCACCCCTCCACAACAACCTGCCTTTTTTATGGCCTCAGATCCATTCTCTGGGCCAATCCCCATGGCACAGGAGGAGCCAGGGACACATTTCAGAGGCCCTGGGGAGCTTGGGATACAGAAAAGAATAATGAATTGATTGCTGTGTGCAACTGTCACCTTTCTACCACCACCCAGACCTGAACAACAAGGGCTGCAGGAAGCTTAAGGCAGACAAAACTTCTAGGCTTGGAGCTTCTCCTCCAAACCTAAACCTTTCAAACAAAGATCCTGGGAGCCTTAAGTCAGGCCCCAAGAGCAGCTGGTTGTTGTCCTCTGCTGTCCCTCGTCCTCCCAGCTGTGTTCTCTGGTGGCATGGCCTCCTCGGTGCCCTGCCAGCTGTGGTGGCCCTTGGCAGAGCTGTGGTGCTGCCAGCACGACCCTGTGGTCCCTCTCCCAGGCACACTCAGCTTCCGGGTGGAACAGTCACCCGACGTCAGTATTCCTGCAGCCACCAGGAGAAAGGGGACAGTCACCCTCTGCTGGGACCAAGGGACAAGATTTTCCAAAGGGAGAACTAACCAGAGGGCACACAAGGATGAGTCAGAGCCCAGCCCTGGTGTGTGGGCTCTGAGCAAGCTCTGGGCACATGGCAGTGAGGGATGGTGTCCCCTCAGTGCCACAGCCTGGGACTGGGCAGGGCAGTTGTTCCCACTCACCCTCCTGGCTCGGTTATGGCTTTGGCCAGCTCTGCCCGCTCTGCCCCAGGGCTTGGAGCCTTTGGAGGTTTTGAGTCACAGTCTGCAGAGCTTTTCCTGAGGACAAACCAATGGGAAAAAGCAGCATTAGGAAGGGGCCAGGAAGCAGGAAAGAACAGGCTGCACTCAGCCACTGCTGTGCTGCCTTCCTGCTCTGAGAACAGGGGTGTCTCTACTGTCTCCAAGTTGCTGGGACAATTTCCTGTCACCAGGAGAACAGACGCAGGATTAGGGAACCACTTCCCCAGCAGCTCTCACCACTGAGCAGGAGATGCAGGGACCACTCCCCACCTCTCAGCCTGGACCTGTCACCAGGGGATGATGCAGAGCCCAAGATCTGTAGCAAGAACAGCACCAACTCCAGACCCTGGAGACTTCCCTGAATGAGCAGGGATTGTGGGGTCTCTCCCAACAACCACTCCAAACCACCAAAGCCCACCCAGCCATACCTCCCCCCCGGCACAACAGTCCCTCCACATGCCCAGAGTCCTTCCCAGCTTACCCATCTCTCCCACACACTCCTCCAGCACATTTGACAGCTCAGGCAAGCTCAGGGACTTCAGGGAAGGTGGCCACCCTTCCAGCACTGCAAGGACAGAGACACAGTTAATCCATCTGCAGCTCTCTGGGACAGAGCACACAAGGGGTTGGTGTTGCTGGGAAGCATCCCCAGCCAAAGGGATTCCATTTAGGGCTTCTGAATCACATAGGAAGAGAGCTGGAGCTGCCTGTGCCAAACTGAGGGGTTTTCTGGCAATTCTACCACTTAGGAATTTATGTTTTTAGACTGGCTGGGATGTTTATTAAGAGAATCTCAAAGAGATTAAATGTAGTGGACAGAAATCAACAGGATCTCTGCTTGTCTCATTTCTAAGACACAGGCAGCAAAGAACAGGTCACTAGGAGCATATCACAGGCAGCAAGATAAGAGAGCCTCAGAATTATGGAACGATTTAGGTTGGAAGGGACCTTAAAGCCCATCCCCTTCCACCTCCTGCCACAACAGCTCAGGCAAGCTCAGGGACTTCAGGGAAGGTGGCCATCCTTCCAGCACTGCAAGGACAGAGACACAGTTAATCCATCTGCAGCTCTCTGGGACAGAGCACACAAGGGGTTGGTGTTGCTGGGAAGCATCCCCAGCCAAAGGGATTCCATTTAGGGCTTCTGAATCACATAGGAAGAGAGCTGGAGCTGCCTGTGCCAAACTGAGGGGTTTTCTGGCAATTCTACCACTTAGGAATTTATGTTTTTAGACTGGCTGGGATGTTTATTAAGAGAATCTCAAAGAGATTAAATGTAGTGGACAGAAATCAACAGGATCTCTGCTTGTCTCATTTCTAAGACACAGGCAGCAAAGAACAGGTCACTAGGAGCATATCACAGGCAGCAAGATAAGAGAGCCTCAGAATTATGGAACGATTTAGGTTGGAAGGGACCTTAAAGCCCATCCCATTCCACCTCCTGCCACGGATAGGGACATCTTTCACTAGACCAGGTTGCTCCAAGTTCCCTTCAGCCTGGCCTTGAGCACTTTCAGGGACCATTTACCAGCTCCTAGGGATAAGGAGCTGCTGGGTCAGGCCTGCCCAGCCACAGAGGTTTGTCTCATGGATCCAACAGCAAAATCTCCCAGCTGGGTTAGGGAACCAACCACCCTTTCTGGTTCAGACCCTGCTCCAGTGCACAGGAGGTGCAGCCCGAGGTGCAGCCACAGATCCCTGAAGCAGGGCTGTCACTGGGGCCTGTGCTACAGCTCTGCATTTTTAGCCACAAATGCCTGCCAGACTGCAAAACTTGCTGAGAAACTGTGCAAGTTCTACTCCAAATGGCCTGAGAGCTTTAAATGCTTCTCCTGAGCAAGAATTCAACTCACTCTAAGAGTCTGGCTGCTCATCCATTCCCAGCTGTCTGACTTTCAGCAAGGAAAGACAAGCAGGGCTTTGCCCTGGGCTCTCCTGGGGCTCACCTGGGCGCTCCCCGGGCCGCTCGCTCTCCCCGGTGCCGCGCTGCTCCTGCGTGTCCAGCGCTCCATCTCCCGCCCGCTCCGGGGCCAGCCGGGACGACAGCTCTGCCTGGCAGCTCCTGCCAAACCACACCAAAGCCATCAGCAGGACCAGGGACATGCTGGCAGTGACACTGCACACCCCTACAGCCTGCAGTACCTGCATGGGGAGCCCGGGCAGCGCCTCTAAGGCCCTGGGGTACAACCTGCTCCTTGCTGCTTCCCGGGAGGAGGAAGTGGTGCCTCAGCCCAAGCCTGGGGTGCTGGCACTGCTCAGCTCCCAGCCACTGCTCCCCATCTGCAGCCACAGCCAGCTCTGCCCTGTACACAGAGGAGCTGTGGGGGGACAAGACAAGGAGGGGCTGGGGTGAGCAGCAGGGAGCCCAAGCCAGGGGCTGTGTTGGTCTATGGGAGAATCAGGCCCAATCCAAGGTTTCTAACCGGCAAAGGAAACAACCTCAGGAGAGGCATGAGGGGCACCCAGGCTCTCAGGCTGTCACCACCATCCCACCAATTCAAGCAGTGTATGTTCAGAGCATGGCAGGGCCATTCTACTGAGCAGCCTCAGCCCCTCAGTCAGGGGGAAAGGCCAGGCTCTGCCCCTTGCAGTGGGAATACTGCTCTGCTGAGCTTCTGGATCAAATTTCAGCTCACCTTGGCTTGGAAGCCAGCAGACCCCACTCCCTTGGGCTAGGATCCATAAGCAGCAGGATTTATGCCACTTTCAGGAATGTCCCTATTGTATCACTGGACAGAACAAGGCCCATGAGAGGAGTCCAACTGGGGCACAGAGAAAAGCACCACAAAGGCAGTAAAAGCAGTGTCAGGAGGTTATTTAGATTATTCTGCCAGCTGTCACAGAATTGCAAGAAAAATATTCTTTACTTATGAGTTACTGCACATCCTTTGGCACAGTATGGGTTAAAAACTCCTTTTTGTATTCAAAAAGGTCCTGATCACCAAGTACCCTGGGTAGGCACAGCCTCAGCCTTTTGGTTGCTTCTAGTTGAAACAGGAGCACCCAGCACCCCCAAAAAGGCCACTCCAGCTCATGCATCTGACCAAAGCTTCACATGTGCTCCCATGGCTGTGGCTTTTCACTAGGGAAAGTCAGGCAGGATCCAAATGTGTTCAGGTGCCAGGTGAACCCTCCTGCCTTTCCCTGAGCATCAGCTGTAAGGCTGCCAGTATGACCCCAAATCCCACTGCCCAGCAGTTTCAGTGTCACTTCCTGGGAATGACTTACTTGATCTGATCCAACAGGACTCCAGCATCTGTGGTGATGGCCTGAGCCTCTCTGAGCTGGCACTGGATGGCATTCCAGGTCTCATCCCGCTCCATCAAACAGCTCTCAGCCACTGCACGCAGCTTCTGCTCCTGGCACACCTGGCCCTTCATCACCTGCACCTCTTCACACCTCTGCAGCAGAGCACACTAGGGATCAGGCTGGGAGCACTGAACATCTCTTGAGTCCCTGGTATTTTAATGCCTCAGGCAGCCAGAATGCTCCTTTCTAGTGGGAAAGGAAGCTGAATGAAGCTTGTACACTGAGTACAGGTTCTCTCCAGACTGAGCCCAGCCCCACAGCTACAATTCCCCCCCAACACTCTGTTTACAAAGTTACTTATGAGTCCAAATTTCCCAAAACAACACATGTCTGTTCACTGATGGCTGCACAACTTCACCATAAAGACGACACAGCTGGGAAAGAGTAGGGATTTGATTCCTGCCCCTGGCTCCTATAGTTCCTATAGTTGGATGGGAAACAGACACAAAGGAGCACCAAGGATAAGGAGAGGGTGAGTTGTACTTGTGCTGTTTGTATACCAAGTGTGTCCACTCTAAGCTGTGGCTTGAGGTGAAGGAAAAACCATCAGAGGCACAACAAAACCACAGCACTGATGGCTTCCTACAGGGCGTAGGGCCCTGAGGAGTTGGCAGCAGCCTCACCTTGTGCAGCTGGATGGCCAATTCCTGCATCTCCGCCTCCAGCCGATCGGCGTAGGCCAACTCCAGCGCGTCGCTGGGCGGGCGGGCGCTGCTGTGCCAGCGCGCGATGGCCGAGGTCATCTTCCTCTTGGGGCCAAACAGCCTGGGGGATGGAACCAACACGGGTCAAGCCTTGCACCACTCGTGCCCGAGAACAACAGGATGCCATGAGCATCTCTGCAGTGTCCTGGTCTCTCCAAGGTACCTCCAGAAGCAGGAGCACGTTACAGCCGAGGACACGGGGACATCAAATTGTGTGGGAGGCAGCCAGAAGACAGCAGCTCTCCCCAGCTAAACCTTCCTGACCAGGCTGGACACTGTTTGTAGGGGAAAGCTGGGACAGACAGGACAGACACTCACGTGATGCCTATTTCCTTCAGGTCACTCTCTGTCAGGGTCAGGAAGATCCGGAGGTCCACGTCTTGCTCCTCAAACACCTGCAGGTACTTCAGGCACCCAATCTCCTCAAGGAACGTTGCCAGGTCCTGCAGCCCAGACAAAACAAACTTATTTACACCCTCTCAACGAAAGCATCACCATTCCTCCTAATCATAAATATTTGCTTCCTCATGCTGTTGTAGCACCTTTCTGGGTTCCAGCAGCAACCACAACTTCCTGTGGTTCCCTGCCCTTCTCCACAGTCACACACCAGGCCTGGCCTCTGCTGCAGCCATGCCTCTTCTAACAAGTGCAGAGCAGAATAACACAGAATCAGCTACCCCAGCCCACCCCACTGCCAGGCTTGATAGCCCACCCACAGGCCTGAAGGGTCTAGGAAACCCCTCCAAGCAAGAGTAACATCTCAGCAAACAGATCCTCTGCAAGAAATTGCTGTTTCACAAGCATGTAAGTTTGGAATACAAGGTGTTTTGGTAACCTTGGAAAGCCTCTCACACCTGGCACAGTGACAGAGCATGCAGGACAAGTCTGTGGTTACCTGGGGCCCTGTGTAGGCCGGGGGCTCAGGAAGGACCAGGTGCTGGCAGCAGCCCCCAGCCTTCCCCAGGCAGTGGCTCCACTGGCTGTCACTGTTGCTGTAGCGGGTCTTGCCCTTAAAGCTCTTGGCTTGTTTCCGACTTGGGGGGCTGTTGGTGTGGTCAGAGTCCTGAAAAAGAAAAAACACCCACAGAATGGAAAGGATGATTTTGCAGAGATGTCAGGATCAGGGGGGGGCTAACAAGTACAAGGCTCCTCCGAGACCTAAAGGCCCTTTTGTACTGCAGCCCCAGAGCTGCCTTGACCCATGTGAGCTGTGAGTAACCTCCAACCTCTTCCCTTCCTTAGTTTTCCTGTCCCTAGAAGAGCCTTTCCTCACCCAGCCTGGCCCTACAGGCTCTCATGGGAGTAGAGTCTCCCAAGGGTAAAAGCACTGGCCAAGCTGAAGGAAAAGAAAAGAAAAGAAAATCCACCTCATTGCTTTCCAAGGAGCCTTCACTGCTGACTCCTGGGATTCTAATTAGGCATTCACTGCTGCTGCTGCTGCTGCTCCTGATGGTTCCCAAGCTGTTGCTGGACAAAGCACTATCCTCTGGAAAGGAACAGGAAAAAATACTGAAGTACAACTTTGTTACATTCTGGTTTTGTTAGACAATTACTAGCGAAACCTCCAGGAGGTGTAAAGAGAGGAGAGATTCAGAGCAAGGCTTCATGTGCAGCACTCAGGATACAAGATGACCCGGAGGCAGAGATTTCACATCTGATCCCCAGCACTCTTCTTTCCCCAAGTCTGTCTGCCACCAGAGACACTTCGGGAAACAGCCATGCTCTGTCTTCTTCCCATCCTCCTTCAGACTATTTGTACTAACTGATGAAATTACCACACTGAGCTTTATCTTCTGTACCTAAATCATCCCAGCCTTCCCTCAGGAGAGACATTCCAATCTCAGCATCTTAGTGGGAAAGGAAGCCAAGGCCTGGACTCACACCCAGGTGGTGCAAGCTGGACCATTTCTGAGACAGTGACTTACCCCTGCTGCTGCTGCTGTCCACATCCAGCTCATTGATTGGGGAGGTGACGTCCCTGTGCCGGATGACACCTGGCACACAGCTGCCATCACTGCTGAAGGTGACATAGCCCTGAGGGGGCACCTGCTCTGTGTGCAACAGGAAGGGAAACAGAGATTAGGATGCAAGTTAATCAGGGAGGCTGCTGCAGAAAATGTCACTGCTTCTGGATCTGAAAATAACCAAAATGAGAGACTGAGCTTGCAACTGACAAGTTTCATTCTAAAAATCACAGACAGCACCTGAGAAATGCAAGTTTCTGCAGTTCCCTCACACGACCCCACAGCACATGAACTTAATTTACATGCTTACATTGAAAGAAAGTCAGAGAAAACACTTTATAGCAGAGATGTAACTTAAACAGCAGCTTCCAGCACTCCTCTCCTTGATATAACAAATTATGAAAGGGGAGAAACAGCTGCTTAGGAGAGCAGCCCTGCACACCCTGCAGAGCCAACACCCCCTGCAGCTGTGCTAAAACACCAGGAGAATCCCACTGGCATTTAAGAAGCTGACAGCATCATTCCAATACAGCCTGGGGGATAACACAGACTTGTGTTTAAGAGAATGAAATGAGCTTTGAACATGCTTTCAAGTCCATAATCTTGGTTATTCCAGGCAACCAGTCTGAGAAACACCTGTGACAGACAGCAAAACAAATGTCCTAGCACTGAATCTAGGATGTCTAACTGGGATCATCTTTTTCTTGGTCTATTGGAAAGGTTTTGCAATTTCATTTTTAGAAGCATTTCAAGCATCAGGGAAGGCAAAACTCACAAGTTCACTCTTATGATCAATGATTTCTTGGCCGCTGTGAGCACCTCCCTGTCATCAGCTTCAGAAGGTCTCAAACTTTTAAGCCTGCCTAAAAAGGGAAACCGAACTGTTCTCAAGAGTCAGGGGAACAGTAGTTGAGATGAGAGCAGAAAAGTATCCCACTCATCAATATTCAGCCTTGACAAAAGAGTTCAGAGGGTTTTCTTTCTAACCCAGACACTGGATAGTGAACACCTTCATACAAAGCTATCTTTGTTCTGTATGAACCACACACGAATCCCAACAAATTAAAAATGGATAGCAGGAACAGCTGCAGTGCATTTGAGGTCTCAGGGGACTGTCCCTCAGGCTCCCAACTCTCCTCACCATAGCAAGACTGCTTCCTTCCACCAAGGCCAATTGCTGTGATCTTGGCCAAGGCCTGGGGCCCCTCATGGATGCTAGGACCCTTGGTCCTACGAGCAGGTCTCTGTCTCTGGGGAGCAGAATATGATTCATCTGAAGAACTCAGCTCCTCATAGTTTCCTGTAGTTCAAACACAGGTTGTTAGCAGCACAGGAAGTCATTTGCCTGTTTTACTTGCTACAGGTCCTACAAGTGCAGTGGAAAGAAAAAGAGAAATGTTAAAGAGCAAGGGTGAAATAGCTAACCTAGGTCAGAAAGGGCCAGCAGACGAGTTGTTTGATTCATGCCTCTTTCATCCTCAGAAATGCTGGAATTTCCAGGATAGACCAGGTAGCACTACCCTATCTACATAGTATAAAATACTTTCAAACTATCAAACACCTCACTTCAGGTTCCATCTTAAAATGAGCAAGGTCAAACATCTGTTACCTGGACCTCTGCAGAAGACCTTGGGCACGGGGGCTGCATGCAAATCTATCAGCCCCACAATCTTGGTGTGGCCGTACTTCATGGCCAGGGTCCGTGCTGTGGCTCCAGTGTTATCTCTGACATCTGCCTTCACTCCCTGCAGAAAAAATACCTGGTTAAGTGCAGAGGGCAGCGTAAAAAAAAAAAAATGTATATTAAAAAAACCCCAAAGTTGTCTTAGCTCCTATATCAGCAATACAGGCTCACCTTTGACAGACAGTTCAAGCTGCACTAATACCCTGAATGCCTTTCTACTTATCTCCAGTCTCTCCAATTCCTGAATGCCAAATAGCCCAGGGCTCTTGTGCATTGCCACTGGGAACAGGTTTGTTTGATCTGAAGTGTTTTGCATTGCTGCCTCCTTCTGGCAGTAAGGTGGACCAGCCAAAGGGGATTTAAACCAAACTAGGTAAGGAGCCCTGCATGCTCATGAGCTTTTGGATGCAGATGTCCAGTAGCCTGAGCATGCAAGCCTATAAACACAATAGAAAAATTACAGCTTCAGTTGTTTTCTAATTCAGTCATTATTCAGTTATACCTGGACAGTCAGACCTCACTCCTATTCCTGCAGGGCCAGTGTAAAATCATTGTACCAGCCTGCAGAAAGCAGATACTCTGAAAACAGTCCTGAAAGTCTGGGACTTCAGAGGTGACTGTCATCAAGGAGCAAACATAACACTTTCAGAAAAAAGCATGGTGTCAAATTTGTGGTAGTTCCTCTGAGGGCTGGAATCAGACTTTCAGCTACACAGAGAACTGGCAGGACACTTACATGATTGAGAAGGTACTGAACAATTATCTCATGGCCAGAAGCAGCTGCTTCCATCAGAGGTGTGTATCCATACACTGGCTCCCTGGGGAGAGAACACACACACGGACAGGTATAACCACAGCTGAAGTTCTGCCATTCCCTAACAGGGCATTTCCACCCCTCAACCTTTGCTGATCACAGACTCCACGATGTACTGGCTGTCCTGCTGTAGAATTAATTCCCTGTAGAGATTCAGTGTTCCTAAACTGGCTGCACAGCGACAGATTACTCTTCCAGCTGCAGACCTGCCTTTAAGAGCCCAAATCACTTTTGCAGGAGCTAATAAAGGAAGAACCTCTTATTGCCCTCAGGCAATTCCATGTACATAAATGTGTGGTAGTCCCCAAGGCATGGGAACGCAGGGCACACTTCAAAAACCAACCTGAACTCTGAGTATATAAAAAAATCAATAAAAAGACTTATGAAGTGCACTTGAGTTCAGAAGGTGTCAGTGTTTAGCTGATAATTAAACAAGCAGTAAATCTAATTTCCCTTGATCTTAGTTTAATAAACAGTGGCAGCAAGGGCAGACTTCAATTCAGTTTGCAGGTCACCTGTCCCTGTATTAGCTGTGCCACATTCTGAGGTACAGGGGGAAGACAAAAGCAGGTGTCTGTTAGAGTATGTTCATCTGCCACCTGTTGCTTTCATACTGAATGACAAATGACAATGAAATGACAATGAAATTAATGCCAGCCAGGGCTCTATGTACATGGAACTCTAATTGCAGTTCTGTTATTTCTGAGGCCTGCCTTTTACAGCTTTCCCAAAACCCTCAGATTTTAAGGATTCCCACATGAAATGACAGATTCCTCCTCACTTGCAGTTGGCATTTGCACCATTCTCCAGTAAGAACTTGACCATCTGCTGGTGCCCGGCGCTGGTGCAGTGGAACAAAGCAGTCCAGCCATGGATGTCCTTCATCTCCAGCTCTGCCCCTTGCTGCAAGAGAATAGACAATATTCCTTACAGCATCTGCTCTGGCTTTCAGCCACTGCCCCTTTATGCTGGGACACCAGGAAATTAAATTAAATTCTACCACAAAGCGGACCTCGGAACAGAATACAAAGTGGCAGCTTGTGGAAAATCCCACCCTGAGCATTTAAACCACGAGCTGTGGCTTTACCTGTGTTATATGGGATACACACCTGCAGAAGGAAGTAAGCAACACTCTCATTGCCACAGCTGGAGGCCAGCATGAGGGGAGTCTGGCCTTCTGGGGTGGGGATGTTCACGTTCACTCCTGCTTCCAGCAGCAAGTGCACGATGTTGTCGTGGCCAATGTAGGAAGCGTACATGAGTGGGGTCCAGCCCCCACAGTTCCTCTGGTTCAAATCCAGGTCTCCACTAAGGAACAGAGGAAAGAAGTCACATGAACTACTGTGCTGGAGTTGTGGACCACAGCTGGCTTCTGCAGACTCTGGTTATCATGTAGCACTGAAGCCTGCATGGGAATTTCTACCAGCTCCAGCACAACCTCCCCCAGATTGCAGACTCACAGAATGCTTTGGGATAGAAGGGACCTTAAAGACCACCTCATTCCACCCCCTGCCATGGGGGACACACACCTCCTACTAAAACACTAAGGAGGTAATTTTTATCAGCAGATTTGCCCCCAGAAACTTTGTGCCAAGAACCCTTTGGGGGTCCCAGCAACATGTCCCTGCTGCTCTGACCAGTGTGGCACCGGTGACAAGCACACCTGCAGCAGGTGGCACCCAGCCGTGCCCCGCCCAGCCCCTCTCACCGCTGGATGCACTCCTGCACCACTTGGTACTGCCCGACAGAGGAGGCCGTGTGCAGGTCCAGAGGCACGTCCAGCTCCTCCCGGCACAGCACGGGCCCCACGCCGTGCCACATGGAGAGGCTGCGGCTCAGCAGCTCCGACTCGCTGGCCTCGTCGCTCAGCTCTGACATCCTGCCCTGAGGAGCCAAACCAGAGCACAGCACTCAGCTGCTGATATCTGTTTTCCATACAATTACAGCTCCAAGCTGCCACAGGCTTGGAAGGTGAGGCCAGCTCAGATGTGTGAGGTTTCAAATTCTTACCACAAATTTGACTGACTCCTCAGTCTGAAGCAGTAACTGTTGCTGAGAAGACTTTGCTGGAAGTTTTCTCTTGCTGTAGAGAACTCTGGGATTCCAGTACACTGGAAAAATAAAAGGCAATAATGCTAAACGCCACATCTTTCAAATCTCCTTTTAAGACTGCAGAAGCAGTGGCTTTATTTCCTCCCTGACTAATCCAAACATGCCTAAGGCAGCTTTGAATAACCTCAGCAAGAGAAGACTAAACATCTATTTAAGACCTGAAGGTAGGCTTAGTGTTTTACAAAAGGATGTAACTCTTGCTCTGCATGTTTTATAATGCAGGGAGAGAATTAAGAATTCATGTCTCAGACATTCCTGGTCTTGTCCATCTGTCTTGCATTACCGGATGGTCCTGATTAAATCAGGACACAGTCATAAATAATGACAACTGCCCACTGTTCCCAAAACCACTCTGTGACCTGAAGAGGGTGCACCCTCCACTGTCATCAGGTTGTAAGCAGATTGTTTCTACCATTTATTGTTTCAGCCCTTCAGAAGTAGCCCTATCTCAGTGAATCCTGGAAAATGCTGAAACACTGGGAGCAGCAGCACACCTGCCCATTCATTATCCAAGCACACCCCCCTCCTGCAGACACAACTTAATTACACAGCTTCTCCAGCTCCAGGACCGCCTGAAAGGTTTATCCCAGTCCCAGCCTTAGGGAGCAACTGCAGACTAATCATTTGAACCTCTCACAGGAGAGTGTTCTTGCCTGGCACTGCATGAAGAGCTGCTCAGCACAGCTGCATCCAGCAGCTGAGGGCTTCAGCTGCAGCTCCAGGACACAGAATCCCAGAGTGGTTCAGGTTGCAAGGGACCACTGGGGGTCATCTCACCCCACCTCCCTGCTTAAGCAGGGTTCTCTGAGCACATTACACAGGGCTGTGTCCAGGTGGCCTCTGAACATCTCCAGGGAAGGAGATCCACAGCCTCTCTGAGCAGCTTGTTCCACGCAATCCCAGGGGAATTGCTTCCCCCTCCCTGTAGTCTCACTGCCCACCATGCAGCACTCCTGGGGTTTGCCTGGTCCCTCTAAATAAGCTAAGTCAACATAAAGTTGTTCTTCCTGGTAACTTCTTGCCAATTTAATTCCTTGGATTCATTCTGGGGTCAGGCAAATGCCAAATGTAGCACTGGTGAGGAATAAGAGAGCAAGAAGGTTTTTCAGCAGCAGCTGCTTCACAGAATCCCTCAGCTGTAACGTTTTAAGACCATACTCCTGTTTTCTGAGCAACTGGGAGTCTTTGCCTTGCAAGCACCTTTCTTATACAATAAGAAAACACCTTTCATTACTACCTCTTCACTCCCCACCTGGATCCTTTCTCTCCCACCTTCCTTTTCTTCCTCTCCTTCATTCTCAGCTTGTTAAGACTACAAAAGCACCATCTATTCTATTCCACCAGCTGGTAGGAGCCTCAGACAAGAACATACAGAAACAAGGGAAGGGCCTGAACTCCTCACAATCAAAACACAAGGAGAGCTAAGTGGATTGAAGTGGATCATAAAGGGGAAAGTAGGAGTTCCTCACTAAAACAGATTAAAGCTGCCCCAGGGAGGCCAAAAGGCAGTGAAAGGAGGTAGAATCCAGGGCAGTTTGTAGAAGAACATTTAGGTGCAAGTCTAGCTCATTGTTCTCTACCCTCCTTGTTAATTTGGTACATTAATTACAAAGCACTCAGGTGTTTGGTCTTCGTCAGAATCAGCCACTCTCAGGTACAAGCCACCAATGCAGCCTTGGTGAGGTGATCCACAGTCAGCAGGGCAATAAGGACAGGACAGAACATCCGGGACCTTCAGCCTCCTACACCTCCCCTGTGCTCTGCCTACATATTTGCTTTTTACTTTTTGAAGTTCTGAGATTTCCCCTCACACTGAACTTCAGCAGGTTGTCAGCTCTGCAAGCACCTGAGGACAGCTGCTCACAATCTCCAGGACAAGAGTGATCAGAACCCTCAGGACTGAAATTAAAAGACCTGAATGAAACAAAATCAGAGTTGTCTGGTGCAAAGAGGAGCCTGGAGGGGACACGTGACACGAGCATCCAACACATAATAATCCATCATATCACAGAATACCAGGATGGTTTGGGTTGGAAGGGACCTCAAAGCCCATCCTGTCCCACCACCTGCCATGGCAGGGACATCTTCCACTATCCCAGGTTCTCCAAGTCCCATCCAACCTGGCCTTGGACACTGCCAGGGATCCAGGGGCAGCACAACAGAACCTAAGAAGCTCAAGTCATTGCACAGAACATTTTAGATAAAGCCCACAAAAATCCCTGTAAAAGTAAACATGAGAGTACTGAGGGACACTGGGTTACTAAGAATAAGTTTGACAAAGACCTCCTGAACAGTCACAGGCTGTTCCCCTGCTTTGGGACAGAGTGACAAGTTCACATTTGTTAGAGGCCTCCCTCAGCTCTGCTGTCCTGCTTTCAGCTGGGATAGAGTTCATCGTCTTTCCAGCAGCTGGCACAGGCTGCTTTTGGATTTAGGATGAGAAGAATGCTGATAACACACTGATGCTTTGGTTGCTGCTATCCAGTGCTTACCCTAAATCAAGGACTTTGCAGCTTCCCATGCCCTGCTAGCAAGGAGGTACCCAAGAAGCCGGGGGGAGCTGACCCAAACTGGCCAGAGGGATATTTCATTCCACAGAGTATGGAATTCATATACTCCCAGCATATGAACTGGGGAGCATGGCTGGAAGGTGCCAATCATAGCTTGGACATGGGATGGGAATCAGCAGGTGCTGAGCAACCATGTTGCTTTTGAGTTTCTTTTAGGTTTATTTTCTCATGATAATTATTACCATTACATTTCACTTTGCTTCAATAATTAAATTGTTCTTGCCTCAGCCATGAGGTTTTCTACTTTGTTTTCTAATTCTCCTCCCCATCCCACTGGGATGGAGCAGGGAATAGCAGCAGCCTGGTACTTGGTAACCAGCTGGGGTCAAGCCATGACACCAGTGAGACTGCTGTTATTATTATTAGTACTAAATTTAATCCATCAGCACTCAACTATTTATCAGGGTCAGGGCTCTAAAGTGCTGGGGCACAGAGCAGGCAGCAAACCCCACACTGCCCTAGATTTGGAGTTTGCTATTTGAGCAAATCAGAAGGCAGAGAAAAAATAAACTTAGTATGAAAACTGATGCAAAAAGCACCTTAGAGCCACACGACAATAAATGGGAGGTGATTTGAGAAGCAACCAGTCCCCACCACAGAACAAATGCAACACTGCCTGTTAGCCACCCTCAGCAGGCACTGCTCAGCTCCAGGCTCTGCTCAAGTCACTCTCTCACATCCCCTCCCACAAGCACAGGTGACATCCACATGTGTCCTTCTGTCCCAAAATAGGGACACCCAAGGCACCACAAGTGTGGAGGCTGCTGGAGGTTCCAAATGAGCCAGCAAACTGACAAGAGATAGTCACGGAATATCCTGAGTGGGAAGGGACCCCCAGGGATCATCCAGTCCAAGCCCTGGCCCTGCACAGACCCCTCAACAACCCCACCCTGTGCCTGGCATTGTCCAAGCACTCCTGGAGCTCTGGCAGCCTCGGGCTGTGCCCATTCCCTGGGGAGCCTGGGCACTGCCCAGCACCTCTGGGGGAAGATCCTTTCCCAAACTCCAGCCTGACCCTGCCCTGGCCCAGCTCCAGCCATTCCCTGTCCCTGTCCCAGAGATTGGAGCTGCCCTCGGGAGGAGCTGCAGCCCCCCCTGAGCTCTGCCCTCAGTCTCCTCCTCCAGCTGAGCAATCCAAGTGCCCTCAGCTGCTCCTCAGCCCCTTCCTGTGCCCAGGTCCCTCCTCTGGACACTCCAACAGCTTTAGATCCTTCTGACATTGTGGTTGCCCCCAGGACTCCAGGTGAGGCCCCACCAGGGCCGAGCAGAGCAGGAACACACTCCCCTTCTGCTCCTGACTTTGCTCTATTCCCACTAAACCAGCAGCAAGTTATCAGAGACACTAAAAGAAGCCTCCTTACATCCCTTTTTAGGTGCAATTGTTACCAGCTCAGCCACAACAGGAACCAGAACATCTCATTTTTTCAGTGTATCATCTGCTGACTGACTCAGCTAGTGCAAATCACAGCTGCAGGAACCACACCAGGTTCCTGAGGTGGGTGAGAGAAAACATTCCTGGATCCACAACATTCGAGTTCAATCCTAAACACATCTGTTGAAAACACACAAAATACACCAAGCTCTTCATCTTTTAATGCTTGGACTCAATCACCTTAAAGGTCCTTTTCTCAGCTTAAGTGAGGAAAGGACCTCACTTAAGCTGAGTGATTCTGCCACGAGCCTGTCACTCTCAGGCACATTAAAGCACATCAAACAATCTCAGAAAAACGAGGTAAGAGGCACAAAAGCACTTGAGCAGCCACATTAGGGAGCACACTGCCCCTGCCAGGGGCTGTGCCCGCCAAGGCAGCCGGACATGGCACCCGCAGGGCTCGGCCCGGGCTCGCTCCGGTCACACAACAACGTACCTGAGGCGAACCCAGCGGCTGGAGCCGCCACAGCGGCCGCCACGCGGCTGTTACCGAACATGTCACAGCGAAACGGCTCCGGGGCCGTTATCCCCACACCTGCCTCCCTCGCGGCCCTGCTAGCAGCGCGGCCTCAGCATCGCAGACTCCAGCGAGCGGGGAGGAACCGCTGCGGCCGCGGGCACACCGAGGACGGGGAGTGCCCGGGGCCGGCCCCAGAGGTGAGTGCCGCTGCTGCTGCCCGCCGCCGCGCTGTCCCGTCCCAGCCCCGCCGCTCCCTCACCTGCGCCCCGGTGAGCGCCGCCGCCGGAAGTAGTCTCGCCCGCGCAAGGCGTGCCGGGAGCGCCTCCGCCCTCACGGGCTGTGGACTACAACACCCAAGAGCATCCGCGGCGCCGGGCCAATGGGAGGAGCCCGTTTGAGGGGCGGGGCGAAGCACAGCCAATGGGGTTGGGGCTGGCTGCGGACGGTTGTAGCGCGCAGCTCCCGAGGACGCGGCCCCGCAGCGCTGTCCCCGGCCCTGCGCTCGTCCCGGTGCCGCCGGTTCGCTGTGCCCGCGGTCCGGCCCGGCCCGGCCCGGCGCTGAGCGGGGCGGTGGGCGCCGTGAGTGAGGGCAGGGGAGCGGGGCGGGGCCGGGAGCGGGAGCCGCGTTGCCATGGGGACGGTGCGCGTGCGCCCGCGGCCGCCATTGCGGGGCTGTGAGCGGGGTCCCTGAGGCGAGCCCCGTCCCTGGCCCGGGGCTGTGCGGGCTCAGCCCCGAAGCCACGCTCTGCCTCCCACCATTGCGGGTATCCTCACCGCTTCTCGTTCCCAGCAAACGTCAGTTCTGGTGGCAAGGAGAAGCTCAGGATTTCAAGTCTCAGAGTCATGGAGTCGTTAAGGCTGGAAAAGACCTCCAAGATCACCAAGTCCAGCGTTCCACCTGCCACCTCCGTGCCCAAGCTCTCCAGAAAGTGCCTCTTGTGCTCCTGCTAAGTGTTTGTTTTGGACACAGAGCACTGTTTGCTCCCACAGACGATGCTGCATTAGCTGACTGACAAGTCAGATCCAGTGTCCATCCATAACCTTGGGATATTTATCTCAGAATTTGGCACACAGAGCCATCCTAGGCAGTTTGTTTTATCCCCATGGGGCTCTCTGACCCTTGGCAAGCTCTGCTCAGTGTCAGAGCACAGTGCTCCAGCCATGAGGATTTCCTTCTTTCTTATCTAAGTGAAATTCAGGGATTGTCTCATACCAACAAAACCACCATAGATGAGGCCTATAAAGTATCTACAGAGGCAATTTGCAAGTTATAAACTTCCCAGGGAGATAGTTGAGTTTAACTTCATGTTCTGAGGAGTGTTCCTGGCCAATGCAGATAACACTGTCAGTGTGATCTGTTGAACAGTGATTTCAGTCATGAACAACACTTAAAATGATAAAAATGTGATAAAATAATCACATTGTTCCTTCAGTGATGAACATAAATCCATGGAATCACAGAATGGTTTGGGTTGGAATAATGAGCACATGTAAGAAACACAAAGTCACTAACCTCCTTGTGGGTCTCTTCCAGCTCTGCATATTCTGTGAAACCTCTGAACCAGAAATAATTTCCTCTCATGTTTGACTGCCCAGCAAACCATGTGAACGTAGCATAAAATATAAAGTTTTTCTGTGAGGGTGAATGATCTGACCTCTTAGCTCAGCTGCAGTTCCTACTGTGCTGTCTCAACTTCTCATGGACATCAAGGAACAGGAGGAAAGAATCCACTTTAGAAACACTTTGAGAGGTCAAAATCCATGAATGTGCCTGTTCTTAACTATTTTTTAAAAATAAAAATCCAGTGAAAACAAAAGTAAACATGAATCACATGGAAGGCTCTCTGCCCATGGCAGGTGGGTAGAATGAGAGTCTGAGCTCCATTCCAACCCAAACCATTGAGATTCTATGACTTTGTGACCATTTTATCTATCTGTTAGGTAGGGGGGAGGGGAATATGAGGGAAATTGGGAAGAGGAGTCAATCCAGCTGAGAGCAGGGGTGTCAGCCTGCCTTTGCTCTGTTCCTGTCCCATCCCTGCAGGCAGAACATGGCAACATGCTTGGAGAGGACACAGTTACAGCACTCTGGCTAAGAATCCCAAAAAATTGTTTGTAAATGAGAGGCTAAACTGCCCTGGGGTGTGTGTGGTGAGTAGGGCAGAAAGCTGTCAGCCCTTTCTGAACTCAGGTGGAAAGGAATAGCTCCAAAAATGCAGATTTTAACATTCCCTGCTGGGAGTGCTGGGAATTCCTCTGCCCTGACCACACACACTTTGTCCTTGTTTTCAGCTGATATTATCTCATGTTTGGAGAGGTGTCCTTAGGCTCACTTTCCTTTGCTTGAAGGGAAGCTGTCCCAATGGCCTCAGAAGCACGAAGTGAGGATGCAGAACATGCAGCTGAGCCTCCTGCAGCTCCTGTGCAGGGGGACAGGACATTCCAGTGGGGAGCCATCCTTGCTGCAGTGAAAGACCAGCTCCCATCCCTGGACTCTGACTCCTCCACAGTAAGCACTGAAATTCTGCCTTTCTTCCCTCTGGATCATGGAAAAAAAACCCAAAAAAACTCTCAAAAGCAAGAGCAGGTGACCTTATCAGGCATTTTGGGGTGGCTGGTGTGGTATCCTGGGTGGGCTGCCTGTCCTGACTATAGGACACTGTGTTAATCCACAGCCTTCTGGATTATCCTTAATTACCAGAGTGTAATTGCCACCTCCTCTCCCTGTATTCTTTGGATTCTGCCCCACCTGCAGAGCTGCCTCCAGCCCTGGGGCCCAGCACAGACTTGGAGCTGCTGGGGCAAGTCCAGAGGAGGCTCCAGGATGATCAGAGGGATGGAGCCAGGCTGAGACAATTGGGATTGTCCAGCCTGGAAAAGAGAAGCTTTGGGGTGATCTCATTGTGGCCTTCCAGTGCTAAAGGGGCTCAAGGAAAAGCTGGAGAGTGACTTGGGACAAGGGATGGAGGGACAGGACACAGGGAATGGCTTCCCACTGCCAGAGGGCAGGGCTGGATGGGATATTGGGAAGGAATTGTTCCCTGTGAGATGGGCAGGCCCTGGCACAGGGTGCCCAGAGCAGCTGTGGCTGCCCCTGGATCCCTGGCAGTGTCCAAGGCCAGGCTGGGCAGGGCTTGGAGAAGGCTGGGATGGTGGAAGGTGTCCCTGCCCATGGTGGGAATGGATGGGCTTTGAGGTCCCTTCCCAACCCAAACCATCCTGGTATTCCAGGATTTGATGGATTATTATGTACTTGAGGCTGGTTCTCCACAAGGCATGTTGCTTTTTTGTGCTTTTTACCTGCCAAAGAAGCATAATTGCAGAAACCTTTTCATTTGAGGTGTGAGACTGAGAGGTGTGTGCAGTGTTCTTCACTGGTACAGGTTTTTCACTTGCTGGGTCTGGGCCAGGCTGTTCTTGGCTGCTGAAATCTCTGTTCACAGGACAGCATTGCTCTGGTGCTGCTCTCTAGTCCAAGATGATCTGGAATAGAATTTTCTGAGGGGATAATGTGCCTCAAGATTTGATTATTCGTGGCATTTTGTCCAGATCACAACATTGTGTTAATTTTCAAACATGTATAAACTTGAAAAACATTTTGAACACACAAAGGATGTATTTTATCCCAATTTATTGTAGCCATTAATGGTACAGGGGGAGATTGTGAGATGTGAAAGAGCCAGAAAGGCATCCAGTGGGTATTCATTATTTATAATTTTCATTTATTATTTATTATTCATTATTTATTATTTATTATTTATCAATGATCCAAAGCAGTGTGATCTGCTGGATAAAGTGTTGATAGGGATTCCATGACTTGGATTCTGCACTTGGATCTCTCACTGTCATGCTGCACAAGCCACATTCCCTCACTGTTCTCAGCTGCCTCTACCTACACTGTTTTAATTATTTAGAACAACCCTTGTGTGTTAACATGTGTCTCTGTAGTACAGATGAAGGCCCAACACTGAAATTATTTGTAGGTTTTCTTGTTCAGTAAATTAAACCAGGCTAAGCCAGAGGAGCAGCTCCAGATTTTGGTGCCAAACACCGTTGAATAACCCCAAATCATGCTGAACATTTTTTTCACTCTTTACAATCCCTGAATTCTCTGTTTCTATCCCACATGGAAAAGATTTCCTGCAGAAGGAACTGTGGCAATCTGTCTGGCACTTCATTTGCATTCAAAAGATCTGGTTGTGTAATCCCTGTCCTGCTGAGGCTGCAGTTCCAGGGCTGCACCTTTGTCCGAGGAATTTCCACGTGGGAAAGATCCATTTGTGCATCCAGGAGCTGTCATCTGAACGTGCCCTGCTCCCACCTCCACAAATGGCACTCACAAATGTGTTTTATGCCCCGAAGCCCTTTCATTGCTCTGATATGCAGTTTATTAAGAGGAATGTTCTGTTGCAGTTGGTTTCGTGTTAATGACACCAGAGAGGATTCTCTGCAGTGTGAATTCCCAAAAATGCACACTTGCAAAACAAAGGGACAAGCAGGAAGGCTGTGTCCTGACTGCTGAGGAGGTGCTTAATCTCCTTTTGGTGTCCATGCATAAGGATTCATTTCCAATGCATATCTGATGTTTAAAAAAGGGATTTTCAGAGCTATCTAAATGCTGCCCAACCAAACACAGATGCTGTTTGCATTCTGAACAGGAATCAGGCTCCTGAGGGCAGTGAAAAGCCTTCATGGCCCTGCCTGGCCTCTCTTGGGGCTCCAACAGCTCTATTTGAGCTCACCTCTGGCCCTTCACTCCCTCTCAGAGCTATGTTAGGGGAATTTTGGTTTCTAGTTATGGTCCTGCCTGAGCCAGACTTTCACCTGTGAATTGACTTTCAGCGTTGATCTCTGACCAGCCTCATCACTCCCATATTGCCCAAGGAGCTGGAGTTGTGCCTCAGCCTGGTTGCTCTGCTCCTCTTGTCCTGCTTGTTCCTCTTGGGTGCTGTGGGACTGGGCTTTGCCTGGTGTGGCCTTACCTTTCCAGTCCCTGAGAATCCCAGAATTATTTGGGTTGGAGGGATCTTAGAGCTCATTAAGTTCCACCCCTGCCATGGGCAGGGACACCTTCCACCATCCCAGGCTGCTCCAAGCCCCATCCAGCCTGGCCTTGGACACTGCCAGGGATCCAGGGGCAGCCACAGCTGCTCTGGGCACCCTGTGCCAGGGCCTGCCCACCCTAACAAGGAAGAATTTCTTCCCAATATCCCATCCAGCTCTGCCCTCTGGCAGTGGGAAGCCATTC